TCCTTTTCAACACCGGGCATTCCATGAGTCTGTGACGTTCACAGCCAGGAGCACTCAGCCTGTCCGTGCCCAGGACGGGAGCAGCTGTGCAACAGCACAGACATCCACACCGCGGCTCCTCTCTGCGCTCGGAGGTGTTTCTGGCAATTTCACCCCGGGCTGGGCTCACAGCCATGGGCTCTGTGCCTCCTGGGCACGCCCTGGGAGGGCCTAGAAGGCGTCCCTCGGCCTCGGCAGCTGTCAGCTATTATGACATCAGAACCCGCCGTCCTACTCAGCCACGCCGCAGACCTATGCAGCAGTGCAGTCCCGCCAGGATTGCAGAGCAGGCGAGTGGGAAGAGGTGCTCGTGTCCTGGGAGGAGAGTGAGCTGTTCCCTGTGTCTGCTGGAGTGAAGGTGCCAAAATGCCAGCCCAGCTGGGCAGGTGGGTGCGGCAGGGCCCAGAATGCAGGGAGGGGAAGCCAGGAGCAGCGCGTGCTGCCGGGCTTTCTGCAGCCAGGCGGCCTCAAATCCCCTGCCGAGGGCACAGCCCTGCTCCCGCTCTGGGCCGTGATAACCACTGTCTGATCTCTCCCTTAGGCAAGGCGTCGCCCAAGAGAGGGGAAGGAGGAGCCCCATCCTGCTTCTAGCAGTGCTTTCTGGTGAGCGTTCCCCACCCAAAGCCACCCCAGCAGAGCTGGGGAGCGGGACTGTCCCGCATGGCGTGTCCCCGCTGGGTCTGGAGGAGGAAAACGGGGCTGCGGGGCTCACAGCGCTCTGAGCAAACTAATGGCCTGTCCCGACTGATGTCCCCCACAGCTGGAGCCTTCCTCTGGATATTGGCAGCTTGGAGAAGCGACGTCCCGCAGGTCAGTGCCGCGGTGTGCGGCAGAGGCCAAAGCTCTGCCCTTCTGCCTCTGCAGGGAAGGGAGTTTGGCCACGGGCTCCTCACTGCTGAGGCGGAGGGCAGACCTTGAGCCGGGCTGGGGTCGCCTTGGCAGCAGGGTGGGCTTCGGTCTGGAAGCACCTTCCCGGTGCCCAGCTCGGAGCTTGGGCTGAAGGCAGTAGCGCATGGGAAGAATGGGCCTTTGGCCCATCCCTGGCACTGGGGAGTCTGGAGGGGCTGGGAAAGCAAACGGAGAAGCAGCAGATGCTCTGCAGCACGGGGAGGGCTTAAGAGCCCGACTTTGGGCAGCGCTGCCCTGCAAACCGCTGGGAAGCAGCAGGAAATTCTGCCAGCGGTTCCCTGGGAAGCTCCTTCGGAAGCCCTGGCCGTGCTCCGTGCGCTTCCTGCCATGGAATGCCTTTCTCTTCCAGGTGGCTTCAGCAGAGGCTGTGCGTGAGCTCCCGTCCCTGGGGTAAGAACACTTCCTTGCCCCGCACCTGGTCCGTAGCGTGGCCTCAGCTGGCTGCGC